TGGGTGGGATATAAATCAAATCAAATCAAATCAAATCAAAAAATAAATTAATTAAAAGCTGTCAGCGCAGCGGGAGGGGGGGGAAGGGTGTGCAGAGCGGTTGGACTACATTTCCCAGGCTGCCCAGGGAGCGTAGATTCTTGGGGAATTCTGGGAGTTGTAGTCCGAAAACGGATACTCATTCAAAAAAGCAAGGACGGTCGCCGGCCCTCCCCGTTCCTGGTATGCAAGAAAGTGGCCTCCAGGAGGGCCCGTTTCGAGACACGAGGAAGGGAAACGGAGACACGGTGCAGAAAGCGCCCGTTCTGCGAGACAGCGATGGCTGACGGCGGGCACGGACGGCGGCACAAAGAAGCGGAGGAGGAGGAGGAGGCGGCCGGCGCCGGCTGCGCCCCCGGGGGCTCCGCGCGTTATTTTTGCACCGCCGGGCGCGGGATGGAAGTTTTCCTGCTGCGGGAAGTCCGCGCGCGGCTGGACGCCACGGAGGTGAGCCGGCGCCGGTCTGTCTGGGAGCGATCGGTCGGTGGTTCGGTCCCTCGGGGGTGTCTTTTGGGACTCGGGGCGGCGGAAACCCCCCCAACATACGAAATACACGCAACATCCTTGGAGGGAGGACTTTTTTCAGACGAGAAAAGCTACGCCGTCCTATTAAAAGCCTTATAAGGACGATCGTGACGCCCTCCCAAGTTTCCTTAGAACGGCTGAACTCACGAAGGGGCAGCTTGATCGTCTGTATAGGTGAAGGCAACCCCGTCTTGTGTATTTTTATTTAGAAAACAGCCCCCATTTTCTTGGTAAATAATATGCATAGGGTTGCAGCGCCGCAGAACAGTATGTGGTTGTTGTTATGTACTGGTTCTGAGTAATTTTTTTTTAAAGTACTGTATGTGAGATATTGAGGGAGTGCTTGGCCATTGCTACCCCAGTGAGTTTCCATGTTTGAGTGGGGATTTGAACTCAGGTCTCCTGAGTCTTTGCCCATCAGGCCTTCCAGTATACCACTCTATTAGGCATCCTTCAGTGTTGAAAGACTATGGTAATAATCCAGTAAAATAACAGTAGATGGCCGTTTTACAGTACTGTATCTGTGTTATGCGCTGTCAAGCTGGAGCCAAACTTATAGCAACCATAATGTAAGTGTGATATTTAAAGACTGGGTTTGCCAATCCCCCAGAAATTACAGAGTCAAGGCAAATAGGTGTTCTTAAATGTTCCGGAGTTAGGGGTGAAAAGTGTGTTGGCGGTATTTCTAGATGGCCAGAATATTTTGTGTGTGTATGTGAAAACAATAAAAAGAGACTGCCAGGGAGACCAGACTAGTGGACATCAAAATGCCAAGTGAGGCTCATTGTAAGTAAATGTATAAAATAATGTACAGTATAAGAAGCTGTCTTTCCTGAATAAATTAGTAAAGTTGCATGAACTGACAAAAGCAGGTATTATTGTGACATGGCTTGAAGATGATGTCAGCCCAGTGAAGCTCCAGCACCCCTAAGCCACCAATCTTGCCCATTATTTGTTTGGTCTGAAGTTGGTCGTTTCGGGCCATTGCCATGCTCACATACTGTATTTAAGTCTGTAGAAACCATATTTTTAAAAGAAGAGTGGTATTGGCCTGAATAAGATAAAACAGAAATGGCCTAAAATAACCTGTAGCATTTTCTTGAGGCAGGAATTGGCCGCTTCAGACCCTGGCACCTTTTTAACTGGGATTGGGGTAATTGGGATGAGTATGGTCCACCATGACATCTGAGGATGATTATTACATCTGTGGACCTCGGAAACTTTCTAACCACTGGGTCAGAAGACTGTTCTCTTCCCATCCCTTTTCTGAAGAAATACATTTTGGGATGCTCTTATGCTGCTGAACAAGTTACATCCTTTTTTTCAAGAGGGAATAGCAGACAGCTTGCTACTTGTAGACCATTCCCTCTATCACCATCACAGGGCTATTTACCACTAAATGACTTCTGGGGAGAAATTTCAGGACAAGAAGAAAGTGAGGCGAAGTCATTAAATGCTGATTTGGGGTGAATGTTTTTTAATGAACCCACAGGATTTTATGCACTGCAAGACTTTGGGGGAACTCTTCGTTGCAGGATATAAATCAAATATGTTGTAAGCCGCCTAGAGTGGTCAAAATGACCAGATAGGCGGGGTATAAATAAATAATCAATCAATCAATCAAGTAGCTTTGGAAAACATATTTTTCAGATTTATCATGTCATCAGTATATGTAAATAAATAAATAAATAAATAAATCAAGTAGTTTTGGAAAACATATTTTTCAGATTAATCATGTCATCAGTATACTTTTTTTGTCAAGGTGGATTGTGCATCAGGAAAAGTTTTCTTCACCACCAGCGCTGAGCTGACTAGGTTGAAGAAGCTGAAGTCTGCTGAGCGGTTATTTTTGCTGCTGAATAGATCTCCTCCACTCTCCATCTCTAGAAATAAAGGTAAGAAGATTTTCCTGCCATCTTCTTACTTGGCTAGTACAAGCCTTGTTTATCCAGCTTTCTGTGATAAGGGAACTCACCATGTCCTCCTCCTCTTTGTTAAAAGAGTCAATATGATGTAATTTCCAGATTGGATATGGGTTAACTTGGCTAAAACCACTTCTGAAGCTATGAAGTTCATTTGACAATTTTGGCCAAGTAACTGTCACCTTCACCTACCTGAGCAGGTGATTAGGAAGTTATAATTCTGCTTGGAATTCCTAGGAGGAAAAGCAGGGCATAAGCATGACAGATATGAATTGTGCTGAGACTTGTTCCACAAACATTGGTGACTTTGTATGACACAGGACAATGCGAACAAGCCGCTGTGCAGTGCCTTAGAACTATGGCAGAGAACAGGTAGACTGCCTCCTTTCAGGCGGGGTTCGATTTAAACCAAATAGATTTACATCACAATTTAAATAAAAACGCTGGGACAATTTAAATGGAATATTTTTTAAAAAAAATTCAAATCATTATTTAAAACAATGTGATTTTTGTAAAAAAATCATTTATTTTTATCTACCCTGTCTCCTTCTACAAAAGATGAAGAAAATATGGTGGGGGGTTTCTGTATTGTGGTGCTGCCAGGTTTCAGATGTTCCATTTCTCAGTGGTGGTAACCTGGGGCCTCAAGAGGATAGCACAAGTGGCTGGATCTTACATGCAGCCCACCAGCGACCTTGAACCCAACCATGGTGGCATTTTCCCCCATGTCTTAAGACAATGTAGGTGGTTTGCTAGATAATTGGAAGCTTGCCTATATGACAGAGGAGCGTAGCTGTTTGGAAGCAGCCTTCCATTTTTCTCCCCTGTAGAAACATCCCATGAGGTGGGTATGAGCATTTTAAAATACAAAGTTTCTTGTTCTGCGGTATTGGTACATATGCATATGTGCATGTAAATGTGGGATGACTTGTTCAACTTGAGTATAAATTTTGCTTTTATTTCAGGAAAAGTAATTAATGACATTAATAGACTTGTAAGTGAAGATCCAAGCTGTTGGCTGGATACTGTTGCCGTTTGGCAAAGACTTCATGGTCAGGAGATGAAGCCAGATGACATGTGTCAGAAATCTCCAGCTTCTAGAAAACGGAAAATGGAAGATGAGGGAGATATCAAACCAAAAAATCAGAAAGGAGAACCAATACAGTCAGTTCCTGCAGAAAGTCAAATAGAGAAGACACAGACATATGACACATCAGAGGCTCTGAAGGAGAATGTTTTGTCCGAGGATACGCCCTTTCTAGAAAAAACTCATGAACTTATCCAAGAGAATTCTACTGAGGAAAGCAGTTGCTTCACCTTTAGAGTATCTTGCCGATCCAGTGGAGCACTTGCAAAAATATTTACTGCACAGGTAGGTATTTTAAGAATTCAAGAGTTCTAAAAGTTCTAGAAAATGGAATTCTGACATCTGATAGTCAAATACAAGCATTGAAAATCATTCTGAAACTGAAAACCTAAAGTTTTCATTAGGAACTCATAATTAGCTTCCAGACTGGAGCTAGTGGATCAGTTGCCCTCCCTATCCCCGCCTCCCAGCTGACCAGCACTGGGTCTAAGAGTCTTCCGGAGGCTTGCCTAGCAGGGAAGAAGCCTCTTAGACCCAGCGCCGATCAGCTGAGAGGCGGGGAGAAGGGGCAGGAGCAGAGACGACCACAGAATAGCTGCCGGCTCCCTGCTGGTTGCCGAGTGTCCGCTGTTTGGCACTCTTTTTCAGGCTGTTCCGGGGCTACCTGGTAAGTGACTTTTTGCTGACTTTTTTTTTGTTTCTGACTTTTTTCCCCATAGGAATGCATTGATTAAATTTCAGTACATTCCTATAGGAAACACGCCTCGCAAGACGAAAAATATCTCAAGACGGCCCATCTTGCAAGGCACCAAAAATCTCTCAAAACCCTTTCGTCTTGCGAGTTTTTTGTCCTGCGAGGCATTCGTCTTACAAGGCACCACTGTGCATAAAAGAAAGGAAAATGGATGATGCTGAGAGATAACTTTCCCAAGAATCTGCCATAGGTCAGCTGGAAATCTGATGTCCTTCTTCATTGTCTATAAGTTGATTTCAGAAATACCATTCTGAAGGTTTGATTATAATTCATATGCTCCAAAACGGAGCACTTTCAAATAGATGCCGAAGACAGCAGGAAAGAATCAGTGCGTTCTGTCCTTCTTTTTCTTGCACCGGAGGCTGGATGTCATCATGGCTGCTCTGTCTTTGGATTCAGCAACTCCAGACATGATACTGGGTTGCACCCCAATCCTTCCCCAATGCTTTCCAGCCAGTACGTTCTTCCTGCAGTCTTTCTCCGTTTATTTTACCTTTAATGATCCATTATAAGAATAAGTACTTTCCTTTTCTCATTACACAACCAAAGTTTTCTAGCTTTCTATATTTTATGTGTGTTCTTTGTCTTTAATACATTTGTTTTAGCATTTCTTTCTAGGTCACTTACTTGACCCAAGAAACTCTTAACATCTCTTCTCAGATCTCCTTTCACAAATTTATTCAGTTTAGATACAGTAAAGGGTTGAGATAATGGTTTAGATAAAGGGTTTAAATAGGTATTCTCGAAGGCTTAAATAGGGTTGCATGAAGCAATTGCTTGTTTTGTATACTAGAAACATCCAGGAAGTATGGATGATGTTCTCTTGGGTCTACTGATCTCAGTGAAATTCAATTTAAAATAAACATAGGCAGGGTGGACTCTTAAGATGTACAGTTTTGGCCTGTTTCATTAAAAACATCCAGCCTAACCTCTTTGTTTTTCCTCAGCTATTTCAGGTTTAAAGGATCCATTCATGAGGCCATCAACCGAAGTATCCATTAAATTTGAGTGGTGTTTTTCTTTTCAGGACTTGGGGAGAATAATTGGAATAGCCCTCATGAAGAGTTTTGGATGGAAAGCAGACTTGAGAAATCCTGACATAGAGGTAACAAACAAACACAGTGAATTAAAGTGTTAGAAGCACTGGTCATTGCCTTACCCAAAGCCCATGCAGCTTAAGTGTACTGGATGGGGAAAAAATTTCTCATGAAATCAAGAAAGAAAATAGTGCCTTACAGAGAGCTCAACCAATGATTCTTTCAAACTTAGTATCCAGTTTTTAGCAAGTTCAAGGGTGGAACTAAAAGTCAAAAGGGATTATGAAGTAGGGACAGGATTTTCGAATTTTTTGTGCTGTTGGTCTCAACATTTGCCCAAAATTCCCCCAGCAGAATTCTAGGAGCTGTAGTAAAAAAATAAAAGTCCTGCTTATGTTGCCTACACGTGGGGCTCCATCTATTCCCAGTGTTTTTACACGAACTAGCATAAATGCATCTGTTGATCTGCAACATTCCTGCAGATTAGACATAGATATATAACCCCAATACGATGACATATTTTGAAATCCAGTTTACCAGTTGTAATAAATATATCTGAAAAGGCCATTTAGATAGCACTTCTTTATTTCTCCAGTTTAACCATGCAATTATATGCATATCCGCTTATAAGTGAGTCCCATGGAATTCGTTATGACTTTCCTCAAATAGATATGTGCAGGACAGCAGAGTAGATAAGCTGAAACCAAAAATTAAAGTAACTCTTCAGTGTAACTTTTTGTTGCCTTTCAGATCTTTGTCCACCTAAATGATCTTTACACTGTGATTGGCATACCTGTTTTCAGGTATTGTGTTTAAATACAGTATACATATTAATGAGTGACTATTTGGGTAAGAGTTGAATTTGGGGAGGTGGAAATATTTCTGGGAAAGGGATGGGCATCTTGAGCAGTTCACTGTACAATGAAGTTTTTTTATCAGATGTTACACCATTATATTTGAAATACGGCCTATATTTTACCTAAGCATGTATTTTGTTTGCAGACTTCCCTTGGCTAGCAGAGTATATATCAAAACTGCTGGATTACGATCTACTGTTGCTTGGGCTATGGCATCTCTTGCTGAAATCAAGGTAATATGTGTATTTGTTCTGTTTGTAGGGAAACAGCTATGGGGATTTGCCAGGATTTTACCCCTGAAAGTACTTTAAATGAGGGTGAGAGTTGATATAATGTAGTGTTGAAGGCAGTGATGATTGTTTTACATGAGACCTCATAGTTTCAAATCCTGCCATACAGCCTTAGAGAGGAGCAGGAGGACTCAGTCTGTTTTTGTGTGATGATGAGATATGATAATGGTTGCCGGGAGCTGCTATCACTGAGGCATATGGGAAAGAAATCCAATATTAAGAAGTACTATAGAATGGACTACATTATTTCAATACTAATAACATTATTATTATTATTATTATTATTATTATTATTATTATTATTATTATTAGTAGTAGTAGTAGTAGTAGTAGTAGTAGTAGTAGTAGTAGTAGTAGTAGTAGTAGTAGTAGTAGTAGTATTCATGTATGCAAAATCAATGATCATTTATCACTGATCCTAACAATGATGATTTTAGACTACTCTGAAATCCCTGGTTTTCTAAGTCAGGTCTCTGATATGTAAAGCTCAGAAGCGGCTTCTTGTTTGCTTTAATGTGACTACATAGCTGAGGTGGGGGCTGTGTGGCCACTAGATGTTGCTAGAGACCGCACCAGACATTCCACCTACCTGGCATAGTCAGTGGTAAGGGAAGATGAGAGTTAGAGATCCATGCAATATCCTCGTTTCTTGTAAACAAGATATTTTTACCACAAAAGCAAGCAAGCCCCAGGGTTTTGGGGGCCCCATGGAGTCCAGGGAAGGGCATTTTAGCCATTGATTTTAAAAGATGGATGGATGGACAGACAGTCAGACAGACTCGAGGTGAAAACTGTTTGGTTCTCTGGAAGCAGCAGATTATAGCTTTTGGATTTTTAATAGGGTTGACGACCCTTGGAGGCCACAAAAATGACCCTGGAGCCACTGGGGTCGTTCCTGTTGTACCAAAACAAAGAATTTCTCATAACTTAGAGGTGGCCCAGATCATCATCAGTCGTGTCAGGATCAATCCAGTGGTGCTTCTGGAGTGGAAGGATCAGCCGACAGGAAGCTGCCATTGCCCAGGGGATGCGTGGATGTGTTCACAGTCTTCAGAGAGGCTCTTTCTGTGTCTCCCAGTGATCTCACAACTGCTTGCGTTTTTTCCTTTCTTCACAGACTGGTGCCTTTGTATTGGATCCTACTTGTGGTCTTGGAACACTACTTCTAGAGGCTGCCACTGAGTGGCCTGTAAGTTGCTTCTAAATAACAGTTGTGATGATCTGCCATTTCTTGTGATTATCGTTGCTAAATAAAGACTCTCTCACTGTAGCGACAGTGATGAAAACTCTGCTTCTAAATTACATGGCAGAGGTTTCTGAGCTTTTAGCTTAGTAGCTCACTTTCAAACCACTCAGATACCTTGTGATTCTGCACTTGGTTTCGTTTTTGAAAAGCAAGCGTACCTCACTGTCACTGACTGACTATATCTTAATAACTTGGATTTTTCTCCCCGTGTCCCTCTTTTTTTCCTCTTCAGAATGTGCATTATTTAGGAGTTGACATAAGTGATTCACAGTTACAAGGAGCCTATTCAAATATTAAAGCTGCAAGCCTGATGAATAAGATCCAGTTATTGAAAGCTTCTGCAACAGGTAACAGTTTGTAAGATCTTTAGGTGGTAAAGTAGACACCAAGGGTTGCTTGTTTCCTGTTTTGTTTATCCATAGGATAGACAGGATATCAGATAGCTTGCAAATGTTTCCTTTATGGACCAACCGTGTTGAGCAAGCTCAGCTTTCAAGTTTTGCAAACCTGGGCAATTTGAAAGCTTGACTTAATCAAACTTATTACAGTGGTGCCTCGCTAGACGATGATAATCCGTTCCACTGAAGTCGCTGTTTAGCGAAATAATTGTCTAGCGAAAAGCATTTCCCCATTGGAATGCATTGAAACCTGTTTAATGCGTTCCAATGGGGAAGAATCGTCGTTGTCTAGCGAAGATCGGCCATAGGAAAGCCGCTTTGCAAACCGCTGATCAGCTGTTTAAATAGCTGTCTTGTGAAGCATAGGTCCTGAAAACACCTGTTTCGCAAGCGCGGAGGAAGCTGTCAAAATTGTTGTCTAGCGAAAATCGGTTTGCGAAGCAGGGACCAAACATTGTCCAGCGAAATTCCCCCACAGGAATCACTGTTTTGCGAATCGCTATAGCGCCGTGTTGAGCAAGCTCAGCTTTCAAGTTTGCAAACCTGGGCAATTTGAAAGCTTATTATCTGAATCATGCTTGGGTCCATCACTGTTTTGCGAATCGCTATAGCGATCGCAAAAAGTCAATGTCTAGTGAAAAAACTGTCATGCAGGGTAACTGTCTAGCGAGGCACCACTGTATCTGAATCATGCTTGGGTCTCTTCAGAACTGATGCCGAAAGGAGACAGCAGTGTTTCAGAGAGTTAAGGTGCTTTTGTAAGAGATGCTGCTGTTTGTGATATGTACCTATCCCATTTTTGCCTTTTGTGATATGTACATATCCCATCATCCAGTGTTGTCAAGTCAATTCTGACTTACAGTAACCCTTTCCAGGATTTTCCAGGTAGAGAATACATTCCAGATTTGCCATTCTCTTATTCTGAAGCTGCCCAGGGACTGTGCAGTTTGCCCAAGGCCACACAAGCTGGTTCAACTTACAGAAAGCCCAATAGAGTATCAAACTCCCAATTTCTGCCTCTGCAGCCAGATACCGACAAGTGTTGCAAAAAAAAATATTTAACTAGAGATGGCTGTAGGACAAAAGAAATGTGTGTATGAGAAGTGAATGTCACTTAAATCACTTTTCCTTCTTGAGAGCCTTGGTTTTCAACTTAACATAGCAAACATTCATGTTGACAAGGAGAGGTTCATTTGAGAAAAGATTGATTTTGTTCCTAGGTTTTATCTCATTATTCCTATCATTTGGTTCCTAATAGTGTGATTCTAAGCTTGTTTCAGCTGGTAAAATGTCCTTTGATTGGAAGGGGCATTTTTCCTGTGGATAACTCCCACTAATGGAGGGGTGTGTGGCTCAGATTCTGCTATAGCTCCCCCAAAATATGCAAGAAACAGGAGAACGGGTGAAAATTGTTCTTCATCTGCCAAAGGAATCCTTGGTTGGTCAATAGAAAGTGTTGTGAGGGTCCAAGCTAATGCTACTGTGTTAAAATTTGTGGTTAACAAAAGTTCTGTGAGTGGGCAAATTAAATTTTTTTGTATACTTACTCTGTATCCAGAAAAGGCTTATGATTCGAGTTGTGGGGGAGTGCCTTAACTTAGAATTTTTGAATTGAGTACCTCCTGCTGAGACCATAGGCAACCGAAGCCTGAAACACTGAGACTTTTTCTAGACCTCTTAAAAGAAAACAGGATTGTGTAACATCAGCACTTTCTGGACTGTGCCCATTCACAAGAAAATATTAGTTATGAATGCATTTTCTCCATCCAAATTGTTCATGTAGTATAAGGCTTGGTAGTGAATCATTTCACAAATCAAATTACCAATGACCATAAGTCTGCTTTTCTGGACACAGACTACCAGCTTGTTCTTTAATTTCTGAACTCTAGACAATATAATATGAGGGTATTTTATTGAAAAAAGATTATCTAAAACCAGGATATTTGTCAGACCAGCTCAGCATGGCACTGCCAACTTGTGGGCAAATACAAAGTTCTTTCAGGCATGCCTCTTGCTATTTCACTGAATATCAGCCCTTTGTGGCGGTTTGTGGCTGGCAAATGTTCGTTGTTTTGGTCGATGAGAAAGAATAATAACTGAGAATATGACTCCTAAGGGGGAATCTGCTAAATGTTCCAACTATGCCTTAAATCATGTTCCATTTAATTGTGTAATATCTCTGTAGCACTGCCATTGACTTCGGAAAGCATTGACATTGCGTTGGCAGACATTCCCTTTGGAAAGAAGTTCAAAATAACAAAAGACACGGAGTTAATTCCAGATATTCTTCAAGAACTTGAAAGGTATGTGTGTTGTCTTCTCTGAGAAACAAAAACTGATATTATGGCCTGGGATCTAATGGTATGCAAGCCAATCAAAGACGAGCTGTTGTTGTTAGTTACGCTTCGCTAAAGACTAACTTAAAAGCAATCTGAGTTCATTGCAGTTATTTTATGTACGGTATATGAGGTAATGTCAAGCAAGAGTAGAAAAATAATAGCTCAAAAGGGCAATATGTGGTTATAAAACACTTCCCTGAGAGTCAAGTTGAACTATATAGTTAGCATAAGAGGTGTTCCCTTAAGTGGTGAAGGGCAGTTGTTTGTCGTAGCACATGATTTCCTCACCTGGTATCTTGTATTTATCATGATTATTTATGAGTAGTCATTGCTATCTGATAAGCATGCTATCTGATGGCATATATTTGAGCAAATAACCACCGTTTCAGGGGAAATAGGTTAGTCCTTGGTAGTATGCTTTCCCTTTAGCATCTAATTTGACCTTCTAATTTGCAAGAAATAAAGAGTGGCATGGATTGAGAACTTCTGCAGAACAAAGGTGCTACTAATTAAACTAATCAGTAACAGAGGTGTTACTGCTGGCACCAGTGTGGGAAGGAGGTAGCTTTAAATATAGGCCAGATGCTTTCTCCAGTGTTTTGCATTTTGGCCTTGTGCTGAGAACAGCCCTTTCATCCGTAACTGGAGCGTGTTCTGCTATCTTCAGACCAGTCTGTCCTAACACTACCCATTATTTTTCTTTCTTTGCAAACTAAAAGCTGCACATAATCCCTCCTGTCACACACCCCTTAAGATGTTCACTGGCAAGCTTTTTCTCAGTATGACTTCTTGTTACTGTTTTGTGTCATCAAATCACTTCTGGGATGTATCATTCTTTTATTCACGAACTCTCCAAGAATTCTCCAGGAAGAATTTTGGGTGTTCCAAGCCACAAACACACACTTGCAGATACATTCATTTCACTCATCAGCCCCTTCTAGGCCTTATTTTCTGTTCCAACACTTCATGGGAGGAAGCTGCTGCAGTGCTTCTGGGTGGTGATGAGACGGTCTTTAGGAAGTGCCCTCCTACAGAGCATAAAGACGAGACTAACCCCCCCCCCGAAGCATTGCAGCAGTACCCTGCCAGGAAGCATCAGGGCACAAAATAAGGCCTAGAAGTGTCCTCGGCCTTCCTCCAGGTGAGTGAAAGCATCTGTGCATGGCTGTTTGTGGGGCAGATCCGTATAGCGATCCCCAAAATGGCCGCCGGACGCGAAAACATCGCTGGAGGGGGAAGTTTGCACGCTTATTTGAACGCATTAAACTAAGTTTAATGCGTTCCAATAGGCTTTCCTTACCTGCACAGCGATGTTTTCGTATAGCGGGGCACCACTGTACGTTCATTTCACTCATCAGCCCCTTCTGGGCCTTATTTTCTGTCCGAACACTTCATGGAAGGAAGCTGCTGCAGTGCTTCTGGGTGGTGATGAGACGGTCTTTAGGAAGTGCCCTCCTACAGAGCATAAAGACGAGACTAACCCCCCCCCCGAAGCATTGCAGCAGTACCCTGCCAGGAAGCATCAGGGCACAAAATAAGGCCTAGAAGTGTCCTCGGCCTTCCTCCAGGTGAGTGAAAGCATCTGTGCATGGGTGTTTGTGAGCTATAACTACCAGAATTCTGCCCAGGGAATTCTTGGAAGTTCTGGCATCTGGAGGTTTTTTTTGTTTTGTTTTGTTTTTGTTTTTTTTTTTTT